AAAGGTGGTGCAGACATACCATTAGGCTTGGAGCTGTGATTGCAGCTGAAGGTGGTTCCAGGGTGACTGGATGCAAAGTGAGCATGGCATAATTTAGAGATTATCATTTGAAAATTCAGAGAAGTCATGTCTACTGGAAAATATATAAAAACGTTCGAGAAGTATGAATACTTTTGAAGAGATGTACTGTCTTTCTGCCATCACTGAATGACTGAGCAATAAAGAATAAGATTAATAACACGTTGTATCAAACAACAGGCAAAGCGTAGGCTCAACAGTCTGCAGGGTTAATATAAAACCTTTTATATTTACTTTTAAAAATATTCATACAACGTTAAGAGCCTAATCAGCACCACGGACAGCACTCAAATCATTTTTTTTCTGTACAGTTTAAAACTACAATAGTGTTTAACGGGACTTCATTTAACTAAGTTTCTCCCTGAGCTGTTCTCTAAAATAAAGCTGTCATTTGGAAAAAAAAAAAAAGAAAAGAAAAAAAAAGCTTTATTATATATTCTTATTTAATTTTCAGGTGCTAATCCCAGTCGATTCATAAGCAGGAAAACTCAGTGTGAACGTGTCAGATGCTGCTGTGCTCTGATGTGGGTCCAGTGGTGTGAAAGGACAATGATAAGACACCTGCAGGACACAGCACCGCTGCAGGGCGGTCACTTTTCCTGGAATATTATTTGCTTCAAGTGTAAAAGTATTTATTTATTTATTTATTTTTTAAGGATAAAAATACATTTAATCTTTTTATCTAAAAATGACTTAGGTTATTATTATTATTATTATTAATTGTGGTTTTGTTGATCTTTTTACTCACTTATTTCCTTCCAAAGAACTGAGGACAATAGTGCCACTCTACCTTTAATTTACTGTCAGACATTAACTGCAATGTTTGATATTTCAAATTACAGTGACACAAATATTTCATCCGGGCCAGAATATGAAACAGTGTCACATACTGTAATTTGTTAAACTCAGTTTATGCTTTTAAAAAAAAAAAAAAAAAAAAAAAAAAAAAAAAATTTAAAAAAAAAAAACAAAAAACCAATTTTCTTTAGAAAAAAAATTGAAAAAAACAAAGTCAAGGA